GTGTTCTCAGACTAGGAAATAAAAAAAACTACAAGGAACAAGACATACAAAGATAAACCTATATAAATGGAAACACCAAAACTGGATGAAAACGAGTAATTAGGGTAGAATAACCAACCTGGGGAGTAGTAAATGCTTGAGGCTGCTCATGCTGTATACCATTCAAATTATCAGGATGTTTTTGGAGATTCCGTTGCTTTATATCCTCTGTCTTATGGTGATGATTATGATGAGAATGGTGTAGCTGCTTGATGTGGTAATTCTGGTTGACTTGCTGTTTGCCACGCGCATATAACCTGCGACGCTTACTATCATCTTGGCTCTCGTCCTCGTCCTCGTCCTCGTCATCTTCATCTTCTTCTTCATCCATCGGCAGATAAAGGCCACCACCTGGCGGCTTAGGGGCCGGAGATGCCGTAGGAGCGTCAGCTAAGTAAGCTGGCAGGGGAGTGGGAAGTTCATCCATTATGCACACCGACTCGAGCTGTGAGATAGCGGGCCTTAGTGGACTCGAGTAGATGTGACTAAGGATACCTGAATCATTTCCGGTGACCGCCATGGCAGTAGCGGGAGATACAGTAGACGTAACAGTTGTGATAGCAGAGGAAGCAAGAACATTAAGAGATGAAGGCCCAGGCTCAATTATGCGAAAAGGAGAGGCAGGATATGGAGGTTCACACTCAGCCATAAAGGAAGAACTCAGAGAGACGTTGTCACCTGAAATGGCAGGTCGGCAGCTGCTGGAAGCTATTCGCTCAGCTGGAGCAGGCATCAAACGACGCAGTGCAGATGCGGATGCTGCTGCGTGTGAAGAGGACTGAGATTGAGTCGACGGCTGATGCAATTGGCTAAGTGCCAAGGGCCGAGGTGCTTTAGATGCATTGACGAGCTGCAGCATAGATGAGGACTGATCGGGGCCAATAAGCGAAACAGCCTGCTCGACAGGAGACTGCTTTTTGGCGACGGTCACAACTGCTGCTTCAAGGCGGATGCGCTCTTCAGCTTCCTGAGCAGCTACGAAAGCGGCAGCAAGCGGCCTAGCAGCTGCCTGTCGACTAGGCGAAGCCACCACAGAAGGGGAAAAGGGAAATCGAGACCCTGATGGTGGCTAGGATAGTCGAAGGTGAATAAAATAAGAGAGAAAAGGGGCAAAGAAAGTCTATCAAAAACTAATAAGATTGCCAGTGTTATAAGTAAACCAATAAATGCTCGATGAACAATCAAGTAGAAGGAAAGGAATTTGAAAGTCACACTTACCTACCAAAGGACAAAGAGGAATTATTACGACTAATGATGGAAAATGGTAAATGAATGAATATATTAGGGCTTATATTCGAATGAAAAAAGAAACAGCAAAAAGTGATTCCGTGGCTCTATGAAAGGTGATATGTATA